TACATTATATATTCAATTGTGCTACAAATTGTCTCTAACATTGATCGTCGCATAATTTGAAGGCTAAGTTTGAAGTTGAGCATGATCTTCACGTGGCTTATATCTTCAAATCACTTAACATAAAATGGAGAGAGCATCGTCAAGAATTGTGGTAACAAAGGGATGATGGCACTCATAATAGAGATCAATTGATTGCAATGGTCCCAGAAGGATTAAATAAAGATCAATAGGCATATTTTGTAGACTATCGTTTAGATTCAAAAACTAAGGTAAAATTACTTACATTATATATTCAATTGTGCTACAAATTGTCTCTAACATTGATCGTCGCATAATTTGAAGGCTAAGTTTGAAGTTGAGCATGATCTTCACGTGGCTTATATCTTCAAATCACTTAACATAAAATGGAGAGAGCATCGTCAAGAATTGTGGTAACAAAGGGATGATGGCACTCATAATAGAGATCAATTGATTGCAATGGTCCCAGAAGGATTAAATAAAGATCAATAGGCATATTTTGTAGACTATCGTTTAGATTCAAAAACTAAGGTAAAATTAAATTTTAATTTATGTTTGATTTTTACTTGTATTTACAAATTGCTTTTATGTCAAATATTAGGAAAAAGCCCAAAAAAATAAAGAGAATAGAAAAAAGCAAACAATTCCCCACACAGGTGGTTCCATGAGCATTGCACGCAAGAAGCAAAAGATGGTAAGCATATGCTTCTTAATTTTTAATAATGAAATAATACTTTCTCTTTTTTAAATATAATTCTTGTTTTTTTTTGGATTTTGTAGGAATTAGAGTGTGGCCGCAAAGTTAGTAGGGGAGAAATATGGATAGCAACACATAAACATGCTAATGGGGAATTCGTGAATGATGAAGCCAAAGAAATTGGAGTAAGTTCAACTATATTAATGCTAAAAATGCTCAATATTTTTTTGAGGTTAACTTAACATGTTTCTTTGTGTTTTATGTAGGAAAAAATTGAATCATATGAATTGAGTGGAAGCATTTCAAAAGACATATCAAGTCAAGATTCCTTAGCTCAAACTTTAGGAAGTCAAGAACATTGTGGACGTGTTCGAGGATTAGGATTAGGACCTTGCCCATCCCGTGTGTTTGGACACACTGTACGCTCATATAGTGGGATATCCTCATTTTCTCCTTCTTGTAGAGAGTTACAAAATGAGGTTAGTAGTATGCTACAATTTCCTTTAGAATTTCAATGTTAGGTTTTAACTCCTTTAAATTGTTGTTTTAGCTTCTTTGGATCTCAAAAAATTAGAATATTGAATGGTACCTACTTGCATAAATCATTTATCATTAACTAATTAGATGTTATTCATTAAAATAAAGATTAGTTTTATGTCCCATTCTATAATTCTTGCTTTCTAATTTCATATTTGTCTTTCTTCTTGAAATAATATCTAGATAAACATCATTGATTGTGTTGTGCTCCTTGATAATCACCTAATTTATTGTTCCCAAGTTGTGCTTTAGCTTCTTTTGATTCCTAAAAAGGTAATATTTGTATAATAAGAATTTTTCATTGTAGATCTAATTTGAAGTCAATTTTAACAAAGTTTGTAATATTTTAGGTATACTTTGGTGATCTTGTTGGAATTTATGAGACTTTTTTTCATGTTGTCAACTATCTGTATAATTAAAACATTATTGTGGTTTAAAGTTTTGAAGAAAACAAATAAAATGTCACGTTTAATATTGGTATGATTTTCATTTCTACTTATGTTCATACTTTGAAGGCTAAGTTTGAAGTTGAGCATGATCTTCACGTGGCTTATATCTTCAAATCACTTAACATAAAATGGAGAGAGCATCGTCAAGAATTGTGGTAACAAAGGGATGATGGCACTCATAATAGAGATCAATTGATTGCAATGGTCCAAGAATAAATTACAGGGGTTATCACAAACAGCCGAAATTGATGATGGTGTTAACGGTGGTTTACAACCCCTGGTAGACTATGTCGTTAACGAGGGTTACAAAACCGTGGGTATGCTATGCATTTCCGGGGGTTGTCAAAAAGCGCTGGTAAATCGCTTGCCACGGATGCTTTCCCGGCGAAAATCACAACCGCAGGAAATACATTTTCCGAAGGTTTTAACCGCGGGGAATGCCAAAAATAACCCACGTTAACTCTATTTTTTCTTGTAGTGAATCATACATTTATTTACATATAAAAAGAGCAAATAAAAGAAACATATATAATTGGGAATATCTGGAACGACCCGTTCTGGACTCGTTCTTCATGCATAAATTTCACATTCAGAATGACCTATTCCAAAACTAGAACGACCCATTCTGAAATCATATTTTACCTACAATGGCCATATCTGGAACGACCCATTCCCTAATCAGAATGGCCTATTTTGGCTTCGCATTTTACTCATAGAATCACGTGTTGGAACTGCCCGTTCTAGTCTACTCTTTATAGGCCATTTTAGTAGTCTGGAACGACCCGTTCCAGTTTGAGAACGATCCGTTCTAGGCTACTAAAAATCAAAATATTATCCAAAAATAATTTTCATAAATATTTATTATTAAAATACTAATAATTAATAAAAAAAACCTTGAAAACATCCTATAAAACCCATTAAATAAATATAAGAAAATAATCTCCATAATATAAAAATAAATAATAATTAACCATTATACTAGTAGAAAATTCGGGATGTTACAATTCTTCCCTCCTTTTTGAAATTTCGTCCCCGAAATTTACCTGCAAACAGAAATGGGTAGACTCCTTGCATCTCGCTTTCTAATTCTCAGGCAGCACTTTCCTAAATATTTCCCATCAGAAACTATACTAGTAGAAAATCTCGTGTAACCTTACTACCTCACTGAAGTACATCTCTATCAATCTCTTGAAAGAATATCTAATGTCAACAAGGGTAAGGTGAGCCACCTTGGTGTGTCTATCCACTAGCCAAAAAAGATCAATTTCTTAAGCATATCAAGCAAAACTACAACTAAGTTCATAGACATAAAATCTCACTCCCAAACTAGGGCGTCTAAAGGTTGTAAAAATCTTAAAGACTTCCAGTGTTTCACCTTAGATTTATGGCATACTACACATGAGTACACAAATTCCTTTACTCCTCTCTTCACCTTAGGCCACCACGCTTCCGATGCGCCACTCTGATACATCTTAGTAGCTCTTAAATGAATGCTAAGAGTATTCTTATGTCCTTTTTCTAAGATTTTCTTCCTAAATTCAAGATTACTAGGCACATAGATCCTATCATTGAACCCCAAAACACCATTAACTTCTACTCATAAAGGGTTATCTATACCCCTACCAATCCTCTCCACTTGGTTCACTAAGAAAGGATCTAACTCCTAGGTTTCTCTAATCTCATCCATTAATTCACTAGTCACTTTCGACATACTCAATTCAATGCTTCTAAGGGTAAGCTCACACATCAACCTTAAGTCTGTAAACTCTTCAATCAAATCCAACCTTTAAATCATCAAAGATGATAAGTGAATGAGCATCCTACTCAAAGCGTTTGCCATATCATTAGTTTTACTTCTATAATCCTCTCCAAAGATCAAACACCTAAGCATAAGTTCACTAGGTACACATACTTAGTCTCAAAGTATTACCACTTCATCTATACCCAAGGAAAACTTCTCTCCATTACCTTGTCCTATAGCCTTATATCTTGTCACTAAAATGAACCAACTAATTGTGCTTCTCTGATTTTCCTTTGACAACCCACTAGTTACTCGAGTCATACTTAGTCTCACACTACTAAGGGTAACCTCATAAGTCAAGCTTAAATCCCTAATTTGAACTAAAAGATCCATCTCTCTAATCATAAGGAAAGGAAAATGTAAAGGTTGCCTACTCAAAGCATTGGTTACCACATTGGCTTTACCTAGATAACAACTAAGATTAAAATCCTAGTCCTTAAGAAATTTCAATTATCTCCTTTGGTCAAAAGATATTTAAGGCTCTAACGATCACTAAATACCTCAAACTTAGAATCATATAGATAGTGTCTTCAAATTTTAGTGTAAATATCAAAACCGCAAACTCAAGGTCATTGATAGGGTAATTTCTCTCATGAATTTTCAATTGCCTAGAAACGTAAGCTACTACCTTTCCTTCTTGCATCAACACTCCACCCAAACCTATCTTAGAAGCACCACTATGTACCACAAAAAACTTACTAAAATCTAGTAGTATTAACACTATTCAATCTTTTCTTAAGATTTTGGAAACTACTCTCACGCTTACTAGCCCACATAAAGGCAACTGTCTCTTCCTGGTCAATCCAGTCAAATATCTTAGAAATTTTCTCAATAACTCTCCTATAATAATAAGCTAATCTAAGAAAACTCTTAACCTCACTAATTGACTTTGGTATCTCCCACTTAAGTAGTACTTCTACCTTAAATAGATCTACATTATACCTCCACTCAAATTTAAAATACCTAGAAAACTCACTTCATACAACCAAAAATCATACTTAGATAACTTAGCCTAAAGCTGTCTTGGATAAGTCCTCACTCTCAACTTCAATCTGATGATATCACACCTTGAGGTCAACCTTACTAAACACACGAACATCCACTAATTAATCCATAAGGTCATCTATCCTCGTATCAACATACACATACAACAAATCATATTAGAATACCTACTTCAAACATTCAATATATATCATCCCTAAGCATGTACGAATCAATCACCATTTACTCCATATAGCATGTACATGAACCAACTTTACCACCTAGCATCATACAACCTTAAACAACCACTCAATCCACATGACAACATCTAAGAACATCATGAAAAAATCAGTTTTTATCCTTGCATTGCCTAACAACTCAAAATATCATGACACCATACATATCCCTTCCACCACTGTCAAAGAAAATGATATCTAGAGATTTATACTCATCCAAATGATCTCAAACCTATCACAAAAGAAAACTAAGAGAATAAGCTACAACTTTTATGAAGACATTAGATTCTAAAAAGACCATCTTCTTAGCTAAAAATTCAAAAACCACCATAGATATATTCAACTCTTACAACTAGACCTTTGATCGGCAAAGTAGCTATAACTGGAGTTCTAGACCTCCATTTTATTTGATTCCAGTTCCATTGGAAAGATAACGTCCAAGGCTACAACTTTTGTGAAGATGATAAAATCTAAATTTGTCAATACGGTACTCATACGGGCACAAAAAACTGCAGTGCAAACATCCCCTACACCAGATAACAATAGCAAATCAACATCTAAGGCCACAAAAATACCTCAACCCTTCCAAACCCACTCCTTTCCACCTCAAATTCTTATCCAAGCTTCTCACTACAATCCTAAACCAAAACAACTCACATATTCATTACAAAAGACTTAGAAAATAAAACTCACATGCTACCTAAACCATAAAAGGTTAACATCTAAGCACCAAAACTCAAGAAAATCACTGACATTTCAACCTTTCATTAAGAACACTCAACTCCAATTCTCAACATATAACCTCTTAAGATTCAATCGCTACAACTATAGATTTTAGAAACTTCATCAGCCGTAAACTCTTAATAAACTCGAAAAATTAATGTCTCACCCACACCTAAGGTTCTAATAGTTTCTAGTTGATTAGCACGATGTTTCATCCACTACTACTTGCACATATGCTCGCAACACAAGAAATACCACCCACCCACTACTTCTTATGTAAGAAAGAAGTATCAAAACAAACAAGTAATCATGACAATGAAGAAAAACAATCATAAATAGTATCATCTAACCAATATTATGTCTATCAACCAAATTCTTGAGAAAACAATAAACATAACTAAATAAACAACAAAGATAATCAATCATCACACTAGCATATCAATAAGTTCCACAATCAATTTATTTCATTATTCATCTACCAAATAAGCATAGTAGACTCATAACTCACGGCCGATTGGATCGACCTGCTCTGATACCACTAAATGTGACACCCTCTACCCCACATACCATAATACATAGGTTACAAAATTCGAATAACATAATTTTTCATTATTGAAATACCAAAAGTGTTTAGATAGAGAGTACCACATCAATATCTTAAACAAATAACTCAATCAGTGGAAATGACAAAGAAATGATGCTAAGGTTTCCAAAATAATTTTAAAAAAAACATTTTAATCTAATCTTATCTACGCCCCAATGTCACATGTCATATCAGAGCAAAGCCCAACATGGAAGCCTAAGCTTCATCGCCAACATCCTCAGCCTCACGCTGATGATCACCTGTATAATAGTCAAAGGAAAGCAACACAAAAGAAAAGGGAGTGAGAAACATCTCACTCTGGCTCATAGTGTAGGAATATACACCAGATAGTCAAACACAAACAAGACATGTATAGCATAGATAGATTAATAATAATATCACATCTCACTCATCCAAGGCATAAAAATATCAATTTATCATATAACATTAAGAATGCATATGTACGAACACGGACTACATATTATCATGCATGTGGCGCCAGTAACATATCACATGGCATATTGCCGCTAGCAATACACGAAAAGTAGTCTAGGAGTACATGCTGGGTCACACCCTGTGCGCACTCTCACTAGAAGGACATACTACCAGGGTCTCGTCGGGATAGCTAAGCTGCGCAAGATACGTCCCATGCACACAATGGGCGAGATTGAGACTTACAAACCGAGCTATCCCCAAGGACTAATCCCCAAAGTTTTTACACTAGGGGGCCTTCCCTAGTAGTTTACTCCATATCGTACCCTTAAAACATTTATGCAAATGATGCAGTCAATCAAGACTCTATGCATTCTCATATCACATTATCATGTCTCATTATCATATCATATCGTCATGCCTCATTATCATATCACATCTTCATGTCTCATCATCATATCACATCGTCATGTCTCATCATCATATCACATCATCATATCACATCATTATATCTCATCATCATATCTCATCACCATATCACATCATCATATCACATCATCATATCATATCATCATATCTCATCATCATATCACATCATCATATCTCATCATATTCACACAGTTTCCACATAACACTTTAATTCATATCAAAACTTGTCTATTTGCGAAACTAAACACATATTCGTACATCTCATTTAACAAGGAATATATCAGAACAATCAGAAGATAAAACATAAAATATTATAGATATGCTTGTTTGTCATAGGGTTCCCACAGGAACCCATATAGCACTCTAATTCATATAATAAACATTTAAAATAGTACAATTTACTCATACAATTACCTCTTCAAACAATCTCCTCTTACAATCATCAATGCATTCACTTAGGGTTTCCCATAGGAACCCATAGAGATCTCAAATCATACATTTATTAAGATATAAAAAGAAAAATAGAAGAAACATATATAATTGGGAAAAACCCCTCATAAATAAGCATACATCAAACATAGGATTGGGGGCCAATCCCACTACCCAACATACATTCCCACACCTAGATCAAGGTTTCTCACTCCCCCTTACCTCGATAAGCAGGAGCTGAAACTAAAACAAGATCTTACTAGTATCCTCCTCTAGGTTCCCCCTTGGTCTTCAGAGAGTGTAGAAGAAAAAGATATCAGAAGTGAAAAAAATTTCCTTTTGGGAGTGCCAGAGCGTGCTATTTGTAGGCATCAGGAGTCGCCAAAATGGCCTGTTCTGGACTCGTTTGTCATGCATAAATTTCACATTCAGAACAACCTGTTCCAAAACTAGAACGGCCTGTTCTGAAATCACATTTTACCTACAACGTCCATATACGGAACGACCCGTTCCCAAATCGGAACGACCCATTCTGGCTTCGCATTTTACTCATAGAATCATGTGTTGGAACGGCTCGTTCTAGTCTACTCCTTTTAGGCCATTTTAGTAGTCTGGAACGGCCTGTTCTAGTTTGAGAACGGTCCGTTCTAGGCCACTAAAAATCAAAATATTATCCAAAAATAATTTTCATAAATAATTGTTATTAAAATACTAATAATTATTAAAAAAAAACTTTAAAACATCCTATGAAACCCATTAAATAACTATAATAAAATAATCTCCATAAATATAAAAATAAATAATAATTAACCATTATACTAGTAGAAAATTTGGGATGTTACATGTAAAGCACGAACCAAATCTGCATTGCTTTGCAATTGTTCTTTTAATGTTTTGTTTTCTTCAGACAAATTTGAAACAAGATTTTTCATTTGTTCATACTGAAGATTTGAGATACCATCTAAGAATGTAGAAGAAGAAGGTTTATACTTCCCAGCCTCTGAACCTAACCAAATATTCTTCCTTTATTGTTCACACCACCAACAACATCATAGAAAATATTATTTTCAGATTGTACACTAGAGGCAGTATCACCTGATAATTGTTGTGACTCTCTTTCATATAACTGTTTCATACTCATTCTATAAAAAGAAAAGTAAGAAACAAAAGTATATAAACATTAATGACAATAGAAGATCTCATGAATGTCATCAATGATGTAGAGAATCATGCAACAAGAACACAAAAAAATACTTAGTAAAAAGTCTAAGATGTAACTTATGAGCAACATCACTAGATAAGTATGAATTCCAATGAAATTAGTAACTTGTAAACCTAGATGCAACACCACATACACATGAATCTCATTGAATCACTATTACAAAAGTATTGTTCTACATCATCATTTCTACATCGGTTGGGTTAAAACCGATGTAAAATTAAAATGCGGTGGCACTTTTGTAAATAAATGTAAAATGTTAGTATATTTACATTGGTTCGAAGCAAAAACGATGTAAATATGTGTTGTTCTACGTCAGTTTCTTTAAGGACCGATGTAGTATAGCTCGAAAAAAAACCCTATGCCATTCTCCCAAATCTGTTCTCCTCCGCAAACTTGAATCTCCTCAACGAGCTTAACGCGGCGCAGCGCGAGGACACCGTCAAGTCCCTTGCCTACGAGGCGGAGGCGCGTCTCTGGGACCCTATGTATGGCTGTGTCGGCCTCATTTCCATCCTCCAGCACCGCCTCAAGCAGCTCCAGACCGAACTCAACCACGCCAAGAGCGAACTCGCCTCCGACATCGGCCCCCACGCTCTCCTCCCTCCCACACCTTCCCCTCCACCGCCTCCGCCGCCGAAACCCTAAATAGACCTTAACGGTTTGTGATTGAGGATTATGGATGCGAAGGATATCCTGGGTTTGCCCAAAAACTCATTTACACCTCTCGAGAAGAAGTCTCGACCTCCCAAAGAGTCTCAAAGAAAACCAGATGGCATTTCGCGCGAGGTACCTATCTTTTTCAATTGCAACAATACCAAAGTTACATTCTCTATTTTCTTTATGGTTACTGAATTCAATTCAATTGTATTGTATTTGTAGGTTTATGAGCTCACCGGTTGACTCGCACCTCTTATGCCTGCAATTGAAGCTTCTCAATTGAAGAAAAAACCTCCTCCTCTCGAAAAGGTTTTCTTTCTTTTTTTTTGGCAGTACTCAATTACTTTGGTGGTTTAACTATTGAATAATTTCTCATTTTTCTCTTCTTCTTCAGGTCACTTGGCAGTGGCTTCCTTTCACTAGTTCTGCTCGTAAAGATAATCTTCACCTCTATCATTGGGTAAGTAACTATCTCGGTATAATTTTGTATATAATCTGTGATTATGACCACGCGAGTAATTGTTATTTGTCTCTCCTAATTCAGGTACGAGTTGTCAATGGTGTTCCTCCTACAGGGGACTACTCTTTTGCTAAGTATAATAAGGTAAATGCGAGTTTACTTGTCTTCATGCATGTCTTGCATTGCTTTATTTCTGAATTTAGTTTTGGGCATCATCGTCTTTTTTTATGATTTAATGTTAGTTTACTGGCTGTGGTGCAATCCGTTGACGTAATCAAATACACAGATGAGGAGTATGACAACTATTTGACAGATCCTGTGGGTATCATGTCTAACTGTACAATTTTATGGAATTTTTTGAATGGTTTTCTCAAGCTATCATGTTGCATTTTTTTAACTATTAAATTTGCGTTTGGTTTTTTGAGTAGGGCTGTAAATGAGCTGTGTACTTTCAGTTTCAGAGTGCTATATTTAAGCTCAACTCATGTCTGCTTGAGTAGCCTTGTGACCTTAAAAGAAAATTATAATAGATAAACACGTCAGATTTTGATGTATGATTTGAAAAGTTGAACAAACTTATTTCAGCCCAACCACTTGCTAACTTAACTGCACTGATAATTTTTTGCAAAACTTGCTAAGAATTTACTGCAAAACTCCAATCAGGGGTATCTCCTCTCAATAAATGGTGCACCTAAATTTTTAAGAGATTTTCATGATTTTTAAAATTTGAGAAGAAAATGAGATGGTGTGCGTTAATGATGTTATGTTGCTCTGGTTTTAACATGATTTGAACTAATTCTTTG